ACATAGCAGCATAGTTTGAGCAGTAGCACGAAGCTGCGTACACCCATTAACCGTCATTTTCACCATAATGCTACACCCACACACGTGCACACACACACATACAAATGCACACACACACACACACATACACACACAGACACACGCACACACACGCACACACACACACACACACACACACACACACACACACACACACCATTGGACCATTGGACGCCAATCGCCGGAGGCGGTGATAGCGATGCTACAGCAGAAGCCATAACAGCTTGTGCTGGGATTCCACCATTCAACAGCTTGCAAGGCTGAAGAATTGACCGCCACTACTCAGCCTGGTCTACACCACACAGCTATGAAGTGGCTTTTTTTGGCCAGTGAATCCCTACTTTTTGGTCTTTTTCATTTTTTTTTCACACACACACACACACTGTACATTGCTTTGCTGTGCGGTGCGGTGTTAGGCTGTGCAGTACTGTGTTGTGTTGTGCAGTGCAGTGCAGTACAGCACTGCACAGCACAGTCTCAAGCTACAGGAGGGCCGTCGCATGCTACAGGGGAACGGCCACAGGCTGCAGGAGTGTGGGCTGAAGCCAAGCCAGCCCGGGCTCAAGCTCAGCAGACCCACCCACCAAGTCTGCAGGACCATTCTGATGCCTCAACAAGTCCCACTCATGTGATCCCCCCGAGGCACGTTACGCGGACACCACAAAGACCTACTTCAGTCGACTATGAGGGCCAGCAAGATCGCCTTATCGCATCTTTCGGATATGTTGTTTAGGTAGGTACACACTCAACAGACTCGTGCTATTACTTTTAGGTAAACAACCGCTCTCGATGCTCTATTGTTATGTATTCTCTGGATGTAGCAAAAGAAAGAGAGAAAGGGGTCCTGTTGGAAGAAGCCATAACTCAAAGTTATATCCTGAGGCGCTCATGCAGGTAACTGATAATAAACACCTGAGACCAATTTCCATTATTGCTTCTGCTCGTACGCGATTCTTAGAGCTGAAAAGTTGATGGTGGAGATTTGAGCAGACTTTGAGCAGAATTTGAGCAAACTTTGAGCAGAATTTGAGCAGAGCAGATTTGAGCATTGCTTATAGATGCAAACATAGTAAGGGTTTGTCAACTATTTCTTTTCACACTGCTGATTGCTGGAATGCTTTACCTGCTAGGCCCATGCACCGACTTTGGAGGTGGGGCGGCCATGGAGGGGGGTCCGGGGGCCCTCTCGCCGAAAAAAAATTCAAAATTGAAGCCAATTGCAAGCGTTTCCGCGCATTTGGTGTCATTTCAGTGTAACTACAATGAAAGACTTTTTGATTCTGCAACAAACCAAGAAGACGCTACGATCGGGGACAAGTATTCTTCATTACCCTCCCCCGGGAAAAAATTCAAAATTGATGCCAATTGCAAGCATTACCAGGCATTTGGTGCCATTTCAGCGTAACTGTAATGCAAGACTTTTTGATTCATTACCGATCGATAATGGTTCGGGCCATTCGATAGTCAAAAAGCGTAATCGTTTCACCCCTACTGTTTCTGATGATCGCTTACCGTGAAACTCGGAGTAAAAACACTTTTTCGTCCTCTCATTAATGTTATTGTTAGAGGGTACACGTAGATAGAGATCATTCCCAGTGCTTAACGTGCTGGGACGGTACACTGACACTAAATCAAACCTAAATCATGCATTTTGAAGTGGTGTGAGCCAGGAAAATTCATGCTGACATGTAGCAGTGGTGCTGATGGCGACAGCAATAGCGGTTTGATGCAAGGGTCACTGACCTTGGGCCGTCCTTGCTGTCTCGTCTGGAAATCCTTAGCCACCTGAGAACACGCGAGATAATGAAGAAGGCGGCGTATGGTGCCAGAGTCAACCAGGTGGAGAGAGCATAATTCACCCCACTGGTGGTTTCGACCTCGGGTGTGGCGGGCAAGGAAGCCACTATATTTCTGAAGTCGCTAGCTGCTTTGGTTGTAGACAAAAACAATGACTTGGTATATTCTGCCGTGAAGGCCCGTCATGGGTGAGTTACGCACCCGGGTTTCTTTTTGCCTGCTGCGATGGGCAGTCACGTGCTTTAGGGGTACAGGGCCTCTTGCATTCGCCGCAAGTTCGGGAGCCCCTTTGCAGCATATTGCCGCCGGCTGTGCTGACACGGGCAGAGGCGTGACTTCGCCTTTGCATGCCGGTAGGCAATCTTATTAGATAACGATTTCTTGTGAAGCTTTTGTGTTCAATCTTACATTTCAAATGAGTGTTCTATATATTTCCGAATTTGGGTTGTCTTTTGGCTTTGACTCAGTCTCTTACTTCATGGTTTCACGCGATTGGCCCAATTGGTGTTGTGAATAAACCCCTTCTCAAGCAGCAGCTGTGTTGGTGGCTACAGCAGCAGCAGAGGCAGTGCTGATTGGGACAGCAGTAGCAGAGGTGCTGGTGGGGACAGTAGCCGAAGGGGAGGTGTGGGCGACGAAAGCAGCAGCAGCAGCGGTAGTGCTAGGCGACAACAGCAGCAGCAGCGGTAGTGCTGGAGGCGACAGCAGCAGCAACAGCAGCAGCAGCAGCAGTTCTGATGGCTACAGCAGCAATAGCGGTGGCGGTGGTGGTGACAACAGCAGCAATAGAGGCGTTGCTGGTGGCGACAGCCGCAGCAGCCGTGATTTGGTGGTGACAGCAGCAACAGCAGCAGCGGTAGCGGCAGTGTGGCAGCGGTGCTGGTGGTGACAACAGCAGCAGTAGAGGCGTTGCTGGTGGCGACAGCCACAGCAGCAGCGGTGATTTGGTGGTGACAGCAGCAGCAGTGATTTGGTGGTGACAGCAGCAGCAGTAGCGATGGTGTGGGGCGTCAGCAGCAGCAGCAGTGCTGATGGTGGTGACAGCAGCAACAGTAGCGGCGGTGCTGATACCAACAGCTAGCTTCACCTTGATATTTATCCAGTGATAAATTTAGCAGCATTCATGTCCAGGTAACTAGTTGTGTATTTGTACAGCTATGTTTCAACCTCACCTTTCTTCCAAGTCCATGTCTGAATGAATCCGTGAACCCGCTAGAAACCTATCCTCTTCCACAGGTGTATCATTTGAAGGTAGAAATAGCCAGGACCTGCTGCATCCCTTCATGACTAAGTTATTTACGGAGTACGCACCACGCTTGCCAATAACCGGCCTGTTCTGACCACTATGTTCTGGTCACGAAGAGGCAAACACTAGTAGTAAGATTATAAATTCTAGCTTGTTTCACCACAAATAAATTCTAGCTTGCTTCACCACAAATAAATTCTAGCTTGCTTCACCACAAATAAATTCTAGCTTGCTTCGCCGAGGAAACGCTTGCAGTGTAGATACTCAGGATGACATAGTCTGGTCGAAGGCAGGAAGCAGCACGACAAGCCTCTGGCTCTACTCCTACCTAACACTACGTACTGATACTTGAGTCTTTACTTCTTTACATGTACCGGTACTTCTTTAGTTTTTACTTCTCAGCTTTGCTGCTAGCTCGGCGTAGCTGTGCTCGCTGTGCAGGCCTGTGTGACTGTCCGCAGAGCTAGAGCTGTAGTGGGCATGATTACAGTATGGGTTAGGCGGCAGTGCGCAGATCTACGTTTCCGCATGTCCCGCTCAGCTCAGTGCAGCTGCGAGCTCACTGCCGGTCACCGCCGCGACCTGGTGACTGGTGTCAGTAGTGACCGAAGCATGCATCTACTCTCACGCACGCACTCTCCGCTAGCGCTACGCCTATGCTTGGGGAGCTTGGTTGTTTCTTTCACGGTTCGATTGAGTCACACTGCACTGTCTGTAACACGGTAACCAGGACTTTGAGTTTTGACTTCCGCTCCTGGAAGCGAAGGCCACAGCAGCCAGGCCCATGCAGGCCAGCAGGGCCAGACCCAGGCTAGCGATTCATGCTCACATGATGTAGTCATGTTGTACTTGTACGAGGTGATTAGCGAAAATTTTACATTGGATATTTTTTTACATTTTCTGTAAACTAAATTTCGTTGTCGTCGAGACATCTCCTTTAGGAAGTAATCTTTGACATTCGATTAGATATTCCGTTAGTATTATCAGTGTAGTTCGTGTTGCAGCCGAAGTTTTTGTTTCTGCGACTCCGCCATGCCGTGACGAGGCCTCAGTATTTCGTTGTGCGTAGTAAATTGCTATAACAATAGTGTAAACCAGCATGATATGGAAGAAACCAGGTCGCGTATGCAGCTTAGGTCGGCAACCGCTGTTGCTGATGGCATCACTGGTGGCTTTTCCAATGAAAACTCGCCTTCTGTAGAGCGCTCGACGGCCACAGGCCCCACACAGACGCCAAACCAAAACGGGCAGAAAAGAGCATAGTTGCTGTTGTTGACTTAGACTCCGGACATCCGAGCCAACGCGACCAATGCTGTTCTATTGGAGACTCTGCGCGTCCAGCTGAATGTAACCAATGCCAGTGAATCTGAGACCAAGCTCCAAGAGTTAGCATCATTGTTTTACGATGTCCCAGCTGGAGATGCTAGCCTTGCCACCAGCCACTTGACTGCCGCCAGCACAATTGCAAGCGGACCTGTTTCTGCTACGTCTTCTTTATCTTCCGACACGTTCGCCGCAGAGAATATACCGTATACTGCTTCCCTTGCTTCTAGCTGCGATTCCTCCGTCCACATGCACAGTCGGGCAGCCCTGAGCACAGCGTCCTTCAGCAGTGCTTCTCTCCGTTGAGTGTTGCGCGAATCAATGGTGCCAGCACTTGTCTAACTCAGTGATGGCTTTCTGCTTTGCATTCAGTATGTGGTCAGAGTCTGCTAATGCTCGGATGTTACTTGCCTGATGTCAGTTTATTACTTTTTGTCCTAGCACCAGTTTGGCATTCTTTATTTTGAAGTTTAATGGCGGTGATTTGCTCCTGCTGTGAGTGTGGTGTGTGGGTCAATTTTCAAGATGGCACTTGAAAGTGCAAGAATTTGTGTTCTGTTTTGACTCTATTCGTGTTATTTGTGTAGTGGCATACCTATACATGTGTGTGTAGGTTTCCATATAGCCTTGTTATGGTATGTTACCTGTGGTTTACACACATGTAAAAGAATATACAAGTATTTTCAGGACTGAAAAAACGACCTATTTTGGGTCACCTTGGAAAGTCTACATTGCTGTTAGGGAAGTTGAACTGTGATGGCATGACACGAGTCATAGATTATTCTACCATGTAAACTACTATAAGTCATGAAAAAAGGGCATTGGCTATGAATGCAGGGCGAGTTTACAAACATGTAAAATTTTTGCTAATCACCTCGTACATCTACCATGTGTACTCACTGCTACCTGGCTAGGCAGTCTGGCCATGGCCCAACATGACATGTCGACAGTCTTTGCACGCGTAGACCACTTACACTACAGTCCATTCAGAAAAAGATGGACTTCTAGCTTTTGGCCATAAATGGGTCAAACTTTGAGTTTTTTGAGAATTTTTTTCTGCAATCCCCTATGGAATCCTCTTCCAATTATGTTTCTGAAGTTTTTTTGTCCAAAAAGCAAGCCATAACAAGAATAGAATTTCGGCCAGGTTTTGCCCCAACAGCACTGAATTGGGAAAAACCATAAAAATCCAGGCCGTTTGACCCCGCCTGCAAACGTGTTTAGGGTTTTACGTCGGGCCCTAGACGACGGCTACTTTGGCCAACCGGACAACGAAGAAGTTGTGACCAAAAAGAAAAAGAATGATTTAATTTCTTGCGCATGCGTATGTAGAATGACGTAATACTCAGTGAGTCAGGTCGCTACACGTGCATTGTGCGGTTCGAACCCCAGTTCAGGTATCCTTTTTGGACCCTTTTTCAAATTTCAAATTTCGCAGCACTGCAGTGTGTACGATGAAATCACGAAAAATCGCCAAATACGGGAGCTCGCCAGAGCCAGAGCCCATCTTTTTATTTATTTTATTTATATATTTTTCTGATTTAAGACTCTAACCCAGACGAATGCATGATGAAAAAAGAGAAAATAATAAGGCACCCATTTTTATAGTCCAGGGGATGGCCCACGCCTGGTAAAAAGAATAAACAGAGAAAACTCGGAAAAGAGACAGTTCAATAACTTCAATTGCACACTGATCACTAAAGAAGAAGATGAGTCCGTCTATGAGGAAAGCCGAGCCTCAACCACCTCCAGACCAATATTCCCCCCCCCCCGCCCATCTTTTTATGAATGGACTGTAGAGAGGTTAAGTTTCACGTAAAAGTCTTACGTCCGTGAACTTTTACGTCAAAAAGTGAAAAAACTCACGTAAAATTTGACGTGTTTTACGTGAGTTCTCTAAGCGGTCAACTCGTGGAACTACAACAAACAATATGTCAATTTGCTTGTATAAATCCATGGTAGGGTACAATTCCTTTCCTCCAGAGCATCCCTTATGTGGAATGCCCTCCCTGCTCACTTGAAAGGAAGTGAGGTAGGCCTTGACGGATTATGCTAGCATAATTTTTCGCATAATTCCTACCAAAATCGAATAATCGCATAATTCGAGGCTAACTGCATACGAATCGCATAAATTGGAATAATCCGCCTTTTCGCATCAAATTCCATACAGTTGTACATGTTCTACAAGTACCGGTACAAGTACAAGTACATGTAGATGCACCAGGAAGTCGGAGGTTTACGACTCCCTTGATATTATGTCCAGTCCACTACAATCAGTGACGTTCGTAGCTACAGGTTGGACGGTGCGTTGACCCCGTTGAACTTTTGCTACTGCAGTACAACGCCCTCTACAAAATTCCCCTGTTATTTTGCACAGAACCATTTACCATCATGTACATTAGCAGCATTTGTGAGCATAATGCGGCATAATATGATAACTTTTAGCATAAAAATAGCATAATTCGGGAATTTTTTCAGCAATGCGAAAAGCATAATTTCACAAAAATATTAGCATAATCCGTCAAGGCCTAAAGTGAGGACATTAGATCATTTTCTACAGAACTTTTGCACGCTCTAAATGACGACAAATTGACTATATCCCTATATCCCCTCCTTTTTGAAAATGTATTTCACCAATAATATAAGGCTTGGAATTTTTTAAACATGAATATCGACGGACTTGCCCCTTCTGTTCATGCATTGACCTGCTCTAGTAATGGTTCATGAATCCGCCCAGTCCACATTCCTTCTCCGTTTCTCTCTAGTAATGGTTCATGAATCCGCCCAGTCCACATTCCTTCTCCGTTTCTCTCAGTTTTCCTTTCCTTTCAGTTGCATCTTCCTCTCTGCTCTGTTTTATTTTCTCTTTTCGTTCGTCCCTCTTGATATTTGTACTTTGTACTGTTGAGGCAACGAACTGAAATAATAAAAAAACAAACAAACAAACAAAACAAGTTGACTGTCCCGCACGTAAGTTCATGACGTGAGTTTTTGGAAGTTTCGCTTGGTTATCCCGACCGAATTTGTGTGAGTTTCCGGAATTTTATCGAGATTTATCAAGTTTGTTGGAAGATTTGATATTTGTGCGAACTAAACCCGAATCCTGCCAGGCAAAATTTCACGTCACGTCGCACGTGTAACTTAACCTCTAAAAATTACACGTAACGTGAGATTTGCACCGCGTTTTCAAAAAGGGCAAAAAACGTGTAACTTAACCTCTCTACTGATAATAGACCTACGCGTCGCACACCCGTCTGAGTAGTATAGACCTACTGAGTCTACAGTCTGTGTAGATCTACATGGTGTAGTGATGGCTGATATCTGGATATAGACTAGTCATACGACTTTATCATTCCCTTAGTATTGACTCACATAGATTTTTGCCATACCTAAGCAGTCAAATATTCCTGCATATTTGACTCCTTAGGGCTGTATTGACCGCTTATATTTGACTCCTTTTTAGCGGTTGAACACATGCTTTGGTTAGTCGTGATAAATCTAATATTGACTTCGCACTTGGTCAGTATAGGAAATAAAAGACCTGGTAAAAACCTCGGCTTCGCCTCGGTCTTTTACTCGGCTTTTATTTCCTATAATAGGCTATAGACCACCCTTTTCAGATGATCTACGGATATCTCCCCTCGTTTGAGGGTATTATGGCTCATAATCCCCTCAAACGAGGGGATCTCATATCCACAGAAAATCCTGTGGATCCCCTCGGACGGTGGGTTGGACCCAGTCCTTCTACCAGCATAACCAAGAGAGCTAATCCCCGCGGCGCTGCGCGCCTTGGGGATTTGAAAAATAATCCCCTCGGAACCATGCAATATCCTATACATATTGACCTCGTACCTAGTCAATATTACTACATACCTAGTCATTGTACATTATAGCAATAAAAACTGCTTTATGGCAGTTTTCTAAAAAAGGTTATTGTGTTCTAGTCCATGGACCCCGTCTAAAAAGTAAGAAATT